AGTATCCCAGTTCGAGTCCCGCTGGGAGTGCTGATGAGACCTATGCGAGGTCTAGACCGCAGTCCATCCTAACGGATTACGGTAAATTCAATGAAAATGCAAGATATACTTATAGTATTATCAGAGAATTCAACTAATAGTCTTTCATCACTTTAAACGAAATAGGGTGATCAGAGCTCCTATATAAGTATACTAATTTGCTAATATCCGGCTGAGTTTGGAGAATAATGGTGAAGGTTCAGAGAAGATATTCCAAAAGCCATCTTATTAGTGTCCTAACCGGGGTCCTTCCATGATAGCCCAGTCAAAGTAAGATCAAATTCAGCTTGAAATACGATTATCGAAATCATAATTAGGATTTATTAATTAAAATTAGTTTCATACAGTTGCAATTGCTTTGGTGAGTATTTAATTAAAAATTGAGCTCTGCAGGACAGAGATAAGGCATGATTTAGCTGTGATTATGAACAGAATTGCGAATGGAGAATAAGAAACACAAGGATTCAAAGAGGAAATTCGCACCATTCCGTTATTGGCCATTCCATCATCTGGCTGCAAAACTTCAAAAGAATGTACGAGTGATGCGGATTTAATAATGCTTTGCTGTAACTTAATTAACAAAAGAACTTCTCATCGAGAAAAATGTTTCAAGAAATATAACACCAATTGTTGAAAATCGCGTGTTCAAAGAATATTTTATCAGACAGACAAAAAGGTAGTTTGAGTATCTGTGGAGCACTAAATCAAAAATTTATAATCATCGTAAGGCAATATACATAGTATAAATATTATATTAAGGATATTTTCTAGAGAAACAGCAAAGCAAATAACTTACAAGTTCAAAAAGACTGGCAAATGTGTAAATATAAATAGATAAAAAGACAGGTTCAAAATATTTAATAGTTAAAACACATATAAAGAAAGAGACAAAATGTTTGCTTCATAATTTTAACACATTTTGTTAGAATATCTAGAAGATTAGGGCGAATAAACAATGTACTGATAGATTAATGCAAAATAAATAAGTGACAAATATAAAATGCAAGCTGAATCAAGAATATGCCTAGATAACGAAGTCATAATCCAAAGACGATGAGTCGCAAATTTGGCATCATTATTTTATTTCAACCAAGTACACATAGCATTGCTGTGTACGGCGAAGAATATATATAGTTTTAAAAGCCAGATAACCCCAATCTATTCTGTTTGGTTGACTGGCGTCTTTAAAGTGAAAGCATCTCTGCTCGTGGGGTCTAGCAGTCTACCATGAATCAGAGAATGCACGAGACAATCCACAGTGATGTAGCGAACAGGAAGGCGGAAGATAAGGTGAGCAACGAGAGGAGGCAACTAAAACCATGAAATGCAAAAAAAGAGTAAGTGATGAAGAAAACGATGCAAGGGAAGGCGAAAGGAAGGTACTTATGCACAAAATCACAGTACGAATAAACTTTTGCAAACATAAAAAGAAGGCTATTTAACAAAAATAGTTTACATAGCAAATTGAAGTTCGAAATACCTGACATCAACGAATTCAATAAAAGCAATTCACCAAACTAATAAAACCGTATTCATTTATACAAACTACCATTCATGATGGCTCCATATGTGAGTGAAGTATATTTGCCAAAGATATGCGACAAAAGGGTATTTAAGCTAATATAACCACGTGGAATCTGATTTCATATCAATTCTTGCATGCGTCAAATATAAGGTGCATTATATGCGAGTTTATGAAACGGTTAAAAGTTCGCAGATAGTATATGAACTAGATGGGAATTTTGTTTTTTAAATTATACTGATTAATGACAGAGTTCTATTACATCCTAGAGTAATTTTCGGGCCTGTCAAGAAGAGCACATATATTTTAATATTCAAGGGAAAATGAGAAATCAAAATAAGTAAATATGAGTTAATCGAGTGGAATTCCTGAAAGTATTTAATTTGGAAATTTATTCTACATATACTAACTACTGGTTACAGCTAGCCCTAAATTATAAAAATAGCTAACACTATTTCAGCACTAACCCTAGCGACATCAACCAGAACAAGTCGTTTTTCCTTTAGATTAATATTGTTCTCTGATTCCACGATAGGCGGGCAATGAGCAGGAGATTCTGTAGAGGTCTGATCAACAGAAGACTGTTCAGCCAGCCAGTCAGTCAGGCCTACAAAAGCCTGATCAAATGGAAGGAGGAGCCGATTGACGGAGGTAGATGCAGGATACAAATCTGGAGATTGAACAACAGCAAGAAGATCCAAGATATCAGACCAGCGGCGTCCAAATACACTAGTGTCATCGGTAAGGATAGCGACGACGCGAGTTCCAGCAGGAAAAAAAGGCCTGTCGGCGAAATTGGAAGAGAAAGAGTCCAGAAAGCGAGGATGCACTACGTTCCTAGATCAATCAAAAGGATTAAGCAAAATATGACGATGAGAGTAACGGTTCAAGAACAAGAAGAAAGTATGTAAAATATTGCAGATGATAAAAATAAAATGTAAAGATCCTTATCTTAAAATACTGTGAATTTAGTTTAACACCTAAATACAAAAAACATGAGGGTGATTTTAAGAGTTGGTAGCTACAATAGTGAAGTTAATACAGCATGAGAAGATATGCAAGTTGAAGAGAAAGTGAGGATAAGTGATTTATGGTGCAAGATTGCCAGGAATTTAAATATGGCAGAAAATATTTCGTTAGAGATCAAGTATTGATAATAACTAAAGTGTAATTAGACAACAAATTGGAGACAGCAAATAGTAAAAGTATGTCGATAATATAGCAGCAATGAAAAGACTTGATGACATATCAAAACAAAATGTGCAGTCAAAAACATCCGATATCAACCAAATTGGAAAAGTTTTAAAGCCTAATGTATACCGAATAATCATTTATTGTAATTTGTCGTTGAATCTAAGCCTTAAGTTAATATTCGTAGGAGGAATTTTGCAAACGTTACAGAATGCTATATGCACCTGACCATTAAAATATAAGGGCGTATAAACTCACCAGGATATCATACTTCCACTGTAAGTATCCAAACCACGGGGTAGGTGATATTGATGAAGGTTGTTACGCATAAGTTCAAAGGGGGAACAATACGACGAGTCCAGATGAACGCCTAATGCAGATGAGCGAGTCTGTTTGTAGCTATTACTATCTCCATTGTTGTCAATATCGCAAGAAGTTGTAAGCAAGCGTGGCTTCTGTCGCTGCAAAGCACAAGCATCCAGCAACCAAGTGTGCCTAAGCAAAGGGATTCTACCGAGAGTGGCCAAAGCTTGAAGAAATTTTGAGGTTCTAGAGGCCCCGGAAGAAACCAGTACCAAGGAGCGCTGATTAAGGCAGTAAATAGACCAGAGAAAATTCATAAGAATAAAAAAGTATTGACGATAAACGACTGATAGCTGCTGTGCTTAAAATAATAGATTAGGATAGTATAGGCCCTAAGTATGAAGAAGTGCTCTATGAAAGGACAACAAAAATAACTTAGTAGACAGGAAGAGTAATTGGGACGCGATTGATTCTCTTGAGATAACATTTTTGGAGAGACCTTCGTTTCGTATGAAAGTGCATGAAGATATTCATAGGTAGATGTCACCTGAAGAAGATGGCTGAATCCCGTTGTACTGCAGCCATAAGACTTTACTACGATGGTTAGGTTGACGCAGCTCACGAGACATCCTCACTCGCTTCAAGTGAAAAAGGGATGAGGTTTCGTCTATCGTATGAGCTGGAGCTCATTCTTAAGAAAGTCTAACATTAACAAGGGGTGAAGAAGACTATCCAGCACTACCATATCTCTTATATACACTCAAACTATAACAAAAATGAACAGGCATAGATACATATAGAATGGTTTGACTAATTATTGTTCACACTGCTTCTGCTACTTTTTCTCAAGTGTGTGTGTATGCGTGCTAACGTCTATACCAAATACGAGTCCTAAATGAGAGAGGTCGAAATTTTTTTATTGATATCTGGTCATCAAAGTTTAGTGAACCAAGAAAAAGCCCTGATCGAGACTAAGTAAGTCCGTGATAAGAATTGTTGAGACAATAGGATAAAAGCATGCAAGTGTGTAAATCAAGTTACGAAACCATCTGTCCTAACCTCTCAATCTAAGGTCTAAAACGTTTAACCACTCAAGGGAATGCATGACTAAGGGTGCATTATCTCGTTCATCTGGTTTGATTGATCAGCTTACTCTAGCATGCTGGACAAATGTGAGGTTAGAGCATCAGTGAGGAGACAAGTTGAATCACCTATTGAAATTTTACAGCCGCTCCAACTTTTAT